TTAAGTGCAGGACCTGCTACCCATCCGTATGGCATCCTGACTGCACCATTCATACACTGGTAAGAGGGGCACCACACAGTGTGCTGATCTCCCAAGTAGGTCCCAGCCTCTAAAGGGAGTGTGATGTCACTGACTCAGTGTGGACTGCCCAGCAAAATTTCTATGAATCTGGTGCAGGAGCCCAGGGTGAGGGCGGGCAGCGAAGCTGTGGCTGAGAGGTGCCTCTAGGTGGCTCCTCAGGCAGGAGGACCTCAGTCTTCAGGGCCCGAGGCCAGAGGAGGGCATGTGGCATTGCTGCTGCTCCTAGAGAACCTTGGTGGATGCCGGAGGGTGGTTGCATTTGTCCTTGGGGGGTGACTGGCAGATCCCCTGTGGTGAGCCCTACCCCAAAGGCTGGGCTCTCTTGTTCTGTGGACGGAGTGTTGCCTCTGGCTGAGGGCTGTGCTGTGCTTGTTCTTCCACGGGCACGGGGCAGGGCGAGGGGACTAAGGAGCTAGCAGTCAGCAAGGTCTGAAAATCCAGAACTTTCCCATTATTGCGCTTCAGCCAATAGGTCACTAAGGATAGCCCCATGTTGCTGTGTATGTGGTCTCCTGTCCACATTACCCTGTGGACGAGGTGTCATTGAGAGCGTGTGGGCGCTGTGCCTTGCAGCAGCCCTCAGCTCACTGTGCATCCAGGACAAGACCTTGGATTCTCCTGTCACCACTGAGGTTAGCAATGGCCCCAGGGAAGGGAAAGCGGGTGTCGGTAGATACAGCTGCTCCCCGATTGGAACCCCGAACAGAGATCTAGGTCAGAGGGTCTGGAGTTCCTGCGTCAGTGGGGAAGTCATGGAGCTGAGATGTGGCTTTGCGTGTGCCCATCCCCGCTAACCCCGGCCCTGCACAGCCTGGTGCTTACTGGAGGATCTGACTTCCCACAGCCGAAGAGAAAAGGGATGACTTTGGAAGTGGCTCAGTTGCTCCGATACAAGCTGTGGCTGAGAGTGCATCTCACTCTCCTCTTCTTGGGGAGCCTGCAGTAGGTGAGTGTGGCCAGACAGTCGTGCTTGTGACTAAAGCGCCTGCCCAGGTGACTCAGCAGCCGATTCCACTGCGCCACCTGCTCTGAGGCCGTGTTTGCCCAGGAGAGCAGAGGCCTTGATATTCTGTCTCTCCTTCCTGGGACACAGAGTCCAGAGCCTGGCTTGGTGCCTGGGGCAGCCAATGTTGACTACTGGGCATTAAGAGGCAGGACGAGACCTGTGAGCTTCTGGATAAGGAAATGAATGAATTGAATGAAAATGTACGAAGGCTCATTCTGTGTTCATTGTGTAACCTGTGTGCTGCTGGCCTGGCCAAAACTGAAGGAAAGCTAGGGGAGGGATATCTTCAGGGCCAGGTGGGGCCATCTGCAAATGTCAGTGTGAAAATGATTCCTCGACTGCCACCAGGATAGGAGCTGTGGCGGTGTAGTGATTAAAGCATTTGGCTGCTAACCAAAAGGTCAGCATTTGGTACCTACCAGCTACTCCATGGAGAGAAAATTGCGGCAGTCTGTTTCCATAAAGATTTCCAGCCTTGGAAACCCTACGCAGCAATTCCACTTTGTCCTAAAAGGTAACTATGTACTGGAATGGACTTGAATTGCAGTGGGTTTGGTTTGTTTTTGGCTCCCAGGATGCAGGGACATGTTAATACCTAAACTGTGCACTCTGGGTGAAGTTGCCAACATGCCATGGAGGGGTTTGAGTGGGGCCATCGCTGAGGACCCTGTTACCCACCTTCTTGTGCCACTTTCTGTTCAAGGACCCAAGAGGCTCACAAACATGGCAGCAGGCAACCGGACGACTGTAGTGGAGTTCATCCTGCAGGGCTTCTCAGAAGACCCTCAGCTCTGGGGCCTTCTCTCAGCCCTTTTCCTCCTCCTCTACCTGATGGCCCTTGTGGGAAATGGCCTCATCATCACAGCTATCAGCCTGAGCCCAGGCCTGCACACTCCCATGTACTTCTTCCTCACCAACCTGGCCTTTTTGGACATTGTCTGCACATCCACCATTCTCCCCAAGTTGCTGGAGGTCTTGATGGTTGGAGTGGACACCATCTCTTATAGGGGCTGCCTGGCTCAGCTCTTCTTCCTCACCTGGTCCCTGGGGGCTGAAATGCTGCTGCTCACGGCCATGGCCATTGACCGCTACGTGGCCATCTGCCGGCCACTGCACTATAGTGCCATCATGAACTGGTCATTGTGTACACTGCTGGCCATAGCTGTGTGGACAATTAGTGCATCCAACACATCCATAAATACTGGACTAATGTTGCGGTTGAACTTCTGTGGCCCCAACCAAATTGGGAACTTCCTGTGTGAAATCCCTTCACTGCTGCCACTTTCCTGCAGCCCCACGGCCCTCAACAGTGTCATGATGGTCATTGCTGACATCTATTTTGGCGTGCTCAACTTCCTGCTCACGCTGACCTCCTACGGCTGCATTGTGGCCAGCGTTCTGCGCATCCGCTCGGCAGCAGGCAAGCGTCGTGCCTTCTCTACTTGCTCCTCCCACCTCCTCGTGGTCATCTTGTACTACTCCAGCATCATCTACACCTACATCTTCCCGGGCTCGGGCACCTCCATGGAGAAGAGTAAGGTGGGTGCTGTGCTGTACACAGCGGTCAGCCCGGCCCTGAACCCACTCATCTACACACTTCGGAACAAGGATGTGAAAGCTGCCCTCTGGAAGGTGACTGCTTGCTCCCGGTAAGGAAACACAGTGGCCAGGTGAATATTCCTGGTGTCGATTCCAAAATATGACTTTGAGAATCAGATTGAAGAGTTAAAGAGCAAGAAGGTAATTAATGGAATAGATTTACAAATAAGAAGCTTCCTCCATGGGGACTGCCCAAAGTCCTAGCTGGAACCTTAGCAAATCCTGACCCTGATAGTGTGGCCAGGACTGGCTGCAGTGAAGTGGGAGGGATTAGCACCCAGCAGCAAGGCTTTATGGGGGGGCCCTGAAGTCACTTCTTTCAGGTTGGGGGTCCCGGTTTGGGCATCAGTCCCACTGAACACATTGCTTGGTGTGTTCCCACATGGGAGTCCGTCAATACTCTGCTGTGGAGACCCTCCCCCATGCCCTGGTTCTCTGACCCAATTCCCTTGGTGAGGAATAAGGAACCAAGAATGGTGGCTGCTCACCATATCCAAGAGCCTCCGGACCTGGCTTGGCAGAAAGGATGAGATATATGTAACCTGGCCTCTGCTCAGACAACATGAAGAAAAGAGGAGTATTTGTGTGTTCTTTCCATCCACATAGCGTGTCATCATTCTTTACCAGGAAGCTGTGTCAGAGCAGGAGAGAATTCGCTTTTGTCTTTAGTTTTGTAGCTTCTTCTACACCTTTTTTTTTTTCCCCTTTTTTTAAATGGGCTTAGTTCCTCCTCCATCCCCTTTACATTCTTACTTTATCATTTGTCTTATTCTCTGCTTGTAGCTTCTGAATGTAGGTGTTCTTCATTGCCCCAGCCCAACCCTCTTCTCTACTGTTGGTAACTTCATCTGTGCTCTGGCGGCATTTATTGTTATTTGCCAATGATACCCAAATTTACAGATACACTCCCAACCTCATCTCTGAGCCCCAGACCCATTGAGCTACCATAGCTATTCGGAAATCTTCTAAGGATCTTCCAGCAGATTTCAATGAGTGACTTTCAATTCTCCTCAACACCATCCACCTGCAAGAATCACAGTTATTGAAAAGTTCTTGATACTCTTTCCTAGCCTCTGTATGCAAACCATCTCTAAATCCTATTATTAAACTTGAACATCTTCGCATCCAATGTTTCTCCCATCTCTGATACATACTCAAGACACCATAGTGTTCATATTGGGTGATGTTATACACTCTACCTGGACTCCTTACACTAGTCTTGATTGCCCAAAATTGATTCCCTACTCTGTGTCTAGAGGTATAATTTTCATATTTTATTTTGCAGAGTTTTTAATATATAGAAAATTGAATGAATTTATGAACTGAACATTCATGAACCTCCTTTCCACATTCTTCCATTAATTTAATTTGATACCACAGTTGTTTTATTACTTATTTATTCAGCCATCTATCCATCTTATTTTTTTATGTATGTCAAAGCAAATTGCAAAGATCAGTGCACTTCATAAATACTTCAGCATATCATTGATTTGAGTTCAGTATCTGATGGCAGCTTTTCTTTTTCCTTTTGAGGTACAATTTGAAACAAGGAAATGCATAAATAAGGGTGCACATTTGCTGGGGTTTGAAAAATGTATACACTTGTAACCCCAACCTCTATCAAGATATGGAACATGACAATCATCCCATTAGGTTTTCTCCTGTCCTTTCTCAGTCAATCCCACCCCTCCCCCTAAGGGCATCACTGATTTTTTTCTGCTATAGTTAAGTTTCCCATGCTCTAAAACTTCATATAAATGATATCATATATACATTATTCTTTTGTCTCGATCTCCTCTTCTTTCATTTTGCATAGTACTTTTTTCCTTTAATTTTTTATTTGGAAATAATTATAAATTACAGGAAGTTGCAATGTGATTATAGAGAGATCCCATGTACCCTTCACCCAGTTCCCCCAATAGTTACATCATTTAAAAAAATTGTGCTTGGTTAAGATAGAAAACTTGTTTTATATTCAACAATTCATGCACATCTGATTTCATGCCCCAATTACCATCCCCAACCATAAAAAACCTCTTCTCCCTGTGACTACCTCCCTACCCACTTCTTATCTGTGCATTCCTGTCTGTCCAGCTTTCCCTCTATGCAAATGTTACCCCTTTGGTATCTCATGGCGCCAAGGGGTGCATTTCCCTACAGTAGGTAGGTGCATCAATTTTGCATAATATTTTTTAAGAATCACTCATGTTGTCCCCTTTTATTTTGATTAACATTTCATTGTATGACTATAAACCCCAAAACAAAAAACAAACAAAAACCTCACTGCTGTTGAAACCATTCGACTCATAGTGACCCCTCCTTGGGTTTCCGAGACCGTATCTCTATGGAAGTAGATTGTCCA